GGTCAGGGAGGCGGCAGTCGTGTCGATTACCATGGACACTGGACAGAAACCGCAACGTTCTGACAACGTTTTGGGGATACCATGGCAACTGACGTACACAGACACGAAAAACAGACCGTTGCCATGATCACAGAATGTTCTACCCAATCAGGAGATGACGTGCCGGTGGGCCCCGTTCACAACCCCTCCCCCTCCCCCCACAAAAGAAAAACTCATCTTCCACAAAACTTAGCCCTCACACGATTTCTTTCCAGCTTGCTGAGAACACCTACTTCTTCAAGATGCAATGCCACTTCTGCAACAAGTTTCTACGCAATGCGGATGCCTTTGATAAGCACTGTAAGCGCATCCACTGGCCGTGGTTTATGCGGGACTTTCTCTGTACATTTTGCAAGAAAGGATACTCCAACCAACCCCGCCTTTCATCTCACGTGTTGAGCAACCTTCACCTAAAACGCCGCAGTGAGTTCTCTGGTACAACCCCACCGCGGCAAAGAGTTTCCCTACAACGTGATGCTTGGCTCTCACGCCATCTGCAGAGTGCGGATATTTCTGCTGATCAGAAGGCACGACTGGAGCACCATGCCTTCATCCTCGCCGATGACCTGGCGCCATCTCGCCATCCTTCCGAACTAACCTCTGCCTTGAATGCCTCGTCGCCGGGCAGTCTCTCTGTGTGCAGCACCCCACTGCAGGACGAGCATCCTGTCCACGAACGGCCAAGTACCCAGCTAACTAGCCTTGAAACGGTGGCCACCAGCCCTCAACAGCCGCTCTCTCTACTGACAACTTCTGTACCGGCTCAGGCCCCGGCGATACCTGAGTTCACACCGGCTCGCCCTACCCTTGAGGAGACTCGACCCCCACTGAGGCCAGCCGCATCTCGCCTTATACCGCGTCCAGCTCCCACCGCTGCAGCTCGCCGGTCGGGACAACGTCCATCTACCGCCCCTCCCATAACCCTTGACGACATCATGGACAAACTTCGCCAACAGGATGAACGAATGGCAAGGTTGGAACATTCCGTTAAGGCAAAATTAGTAGAAATTGCTCAGGCCCAATCTCGCCACATGGCGACAAAAATCGACGATGAAGCCAAAAAGGTAACGGTGGCAGTGCTTCGGCAAAGCGATGCAGTGCGGAAGTACATGAAAACGGTGGCCGAGGCACTAGCCGAGACCTTTCAATTTCAGTAAAGCGGGCCTGCGTAAGTTTGTTATTTTCCTGGATTTTACACTAAGCATACTTATTTCTAGATTGTGAGTTTTGTAGATTAGACTAGCTTTTGCCGTAGTGGTAGCCCAAAACGCGGTGGCAGTCTTCATGAACTGAACTCTTAGTGTTTTTTTCTATACTGCCAATGAACATTACAGCTTCCATGAACTACTCGTGAAATTTTCGCCACTTTTGAACAAGAACTCTATTTCCTTCGTTTACAACGAGGACGTTGTAAAAACTCGAGGGGGAATAGTGTTGCGCACCCGCAAATCT